GACCGGGAGATACGTCTGGTTCCACCAGAGGACCGAGAGAAAAAAAAAACAGGTCTAAGATGGAAGATTTTTCAGGATGATTTTTGTTTGGTCTAGTGGGAGAGGCGATCAGTTGGGTTAGACTGAGTGACAGGCAACATTCCTTGAATTTATCACAGAGAGGGATAGACTTGTCCTATTCAGAACTACCAGCAAGTCTGTTTCAGAACCAAGAACAGAGGCAGAACATACAGCATCTGTCTCAGGCGCATGGACAGAACCTCCAACGTCCATCTCAGGACCATGGACAGAACCTCCAGCGTCCATCTCAGGACCATGGACAGAACCTCCAGCGTACGTCTCAGGACCATGGACAGAACCTCCAGCGTCCGTCTCAGGACCATGGACAGAACCTCCAGCGTCTGTCTCAGGACCATGGACGGGGCAGAACCTGCCACTAATTTTAGATTTGTTTTTTTGTGCACGTTTTATCTTTTTCAAAACTCTGCTTGCACAGTATAGTGTGGTTTCTTTTGGGAATTGTAACTATGCAATTTTTATGTCCTTTGATCCTGGTTTTAATTGTGTTTGGAATACCTTTATGATGACGCTCTTTCACACACACACACAAACACACACACACACACACCCGTCTTTGCAGAAATGTGCTAAATGCCATTCTTTACACGAGGGAGCAGCTGATCTGCCTCGAACACAGCAGAGTCTTTGGGTAGAAACATGTAAACCCAGAGCAGGAATAAGACAGCGACTGGTGAGGAGGGAGTATAAACTGTACCTTTTATTTATTTATTTATTCATTCATTCATTCATTTCATTTCAGTTAAAACAAGACTTATTCCATACAAATAAAATAAGACATATAAAATGAAAGGCAGCAGAAGAACGAATTCTTATCATTTCTGCCTCTTCTAAACAATATCAATTCAAAACGATCTATTCAAACAATACATAATACAACCAACCAAAAAACTTATCACAATTCATTATAATTCCATATAAATATCCAACTTAAATATATTTCATCATCAATACATTCTTAATCTTTTATTAAATACAACTAATGAATTCTCCTTTTTGATATCATTATCAAACCATTCCATAAACTCATTCCCTTGATCCAAGTAGACCTGCCCTTAAAACTTGTTCTATATTTCATCTTTACAAAAATATCTGTTCCCTTTAAATTAGAACAACTATTCCTTTGAATGAAATACACTTGTATGTTTGATGGTAACTTTTGGTTCTGAGCCTTGTACATAAATAATAGAATATTTTAATCCACCAAATCATAAAACTTGAGAATTTTCAGTTGATAAAACAAAATACTTGAAGGATGGCGATAATGCTTTTTTGCGATAACTCTTCTAACTCTTTTTTGTAAAATAAAAATAGACTTGGTTGCAGTTTTACAAGCTGTACCCCAGAGAGCAACACAATAAATCAAATGTGGCACAACAATTGTATGGTACAGTGACACGATGCTTTATCAGTCAGAAATTCTCGTACTTTATGTAGCGTTGCTGTAGACCTGGAAATTTTAGTTCTTACAAAATTAATATGTTTTTTCCATGTCAATGTATCATCTATAATCACTCCCAGAAACTTTACTTCACTCACTCTATCACACAATCAATTTCAAAAGGAAAATCTATAAATGGCTTTTTTTTACTAAATATCATATAATTTGATTTTTCTAGATTAAGTGATAATTTATTTAATTTAAACCAAGTATGAA